CCCCAAAACCCCAAAACCCCAAAACCCCATAAGACGAAAATATATCTAGATTTGAATTATGAAATCAAAATATCTTAAAATAAACATCAAATTTCATCTTCTTAAATAATAATATCTTCTTCAATTATCTTTCTAATTGAATCTTCAAACTTAACTAACACCTCTTTTTTATCAGAAGTATCAGTCCATGCTTGCTACCTTTCAAAATCTTAATTTGAATCAGCATTTGGGATATCATCTTCAGATAAATCTAAAATTCCATCTAGTTGATCCTAGCTTATATTTTATTGCTTATAATCATCATCTTCATCTATAATCTAAACATGAGAATCTTTCAAAAGCTTTAGAGGCTAAAATGTATCATCTAGATCTTAAGTCATATCATTAATCGCTGAATCGTACTGCTATGATTGTGCAATATAGGAATTTTGAAGTTCTTAGTAGTTGTTTTAATCTTATTCTTCCTTAGTTTGAATCACTTCCTAATCTTATTTATTAATACTCTATTGGCTGGCATTACTATTAAGTCTAATATCATTACTACTTTCATCATTCTCAAATTCCTCTAAAAAAATTAAACTGTCTTTATTTTTTGTCTGTCGTTAACTAGATTTATTGCTTTAAGCTTCTTTGAATTTGGTTTTTACTTATGCTTCTTAGTTATCTATTTACCTTCTATAACTTCTCTTAGTGAGTTATTTCTTGATTGATTTCCTAACCTAAATTTGTTGAATATAAATGCCTTTCCCTGAGTTATTTTTAAATTCTTCAACAATTTGGTCAAGCTATTGTTGTTCTTCTTATATATGTCTTAAATCCCTAATAGTTTTTCCTAATGAAAGATCGGATGTGGGATTAGTCTTGCTAAACAAGCTTTTCTTTCTTGATATTAGATCATTTGACTATAAACTATCGCTTAATTCATTAACATTTCCTTGTCTATTATTTTATGACATCTACTTTTCATATTTTCTTTCAGAATTAAAAGTTTTACCAACACGAAATTTACTTTCCTGAGATTCCCAGTCACTTTGAGTATTTTTTTTTCTAAAATCTAATTCTTTAGTATCAGAAGTATTTTTAATCGAGCCATTTTATTAGGATTGTAACTATTGTCTGCCGATCGTTGAAGAGGGCCATACCCTACTTGTATGGAAAGTATTTGAATCACTTCTCTGCACACTACTAATAATTACTGATGACTGCTGATACTCAGAGTCAGTTTTTAATGATGTTTCTGAAATTTTAGTGGCTGCTTTTTAGAGTTTCTAATTTTTATTAATATGCTTCAACCTTAGTTCTCTTTTTGAATCTGAAAATCCAATATCCTCTTGCAAATCTTCAATTAGTTTCTCTTACGTTTGAAAGGTAATTTATTTAGTGCTATTTATATTCCTAGAATCTAGTCTTTGGCTTTAAAAATCATTATCATCATCCAAATCTTAACTCCCCCATCTCTCATTTTTCTCTTCAGCACTAAACATTTTAGAGCGACTAAACTTCTATCTCTTTGTAACATGCTAAGATCTATTTGAATTTTTCGCTTATATTTAATCTTAATTCAGTTCATCTTCGCATGCTATCTTCTTGAGGTTATCCAGACTAAAAACAATAATAAGTTTCTCAATATTCTGTTTTGTAAGTTACAACTATCCTGACTTAAATTACTGCTTATAATGTTTAAATAGCTTGTCCATCTCTATTGCTAACTCATTATGTTCTCTCATTATTTCGTGATCTTTCAGCTCTTTTTCTAATTTACTTGTTTTCTAGCAAAGACAGAAAAATAAGTAAAGTCTTGTGAATCTCTCTCTTATTTTAGCTCTTAGTTCTTGATACATTTTAAAAGTCCAGTAGATAAAGAAGAAAGCATTTGAAATGATTATCACTGCAAAAAGAATATTTTATGAGGCAGTTGAAAGGTGCAAATAGCCCACTGAGTAATCTGGGTTTTAGCTGATCCAAGCTTATGGTCTGTTTAAAATGAAGAATACTCCACAAAAGATTGTTATGATTGATGTCACTAGGGATAATGATTCAAGATCGTTAAGTGAATGGTAACTAAACGGATGCTTTTTTAAGTTCAACATTAGGAAACTAAACATATCAAATAAAATCAAAAACATACCTTATCAATACAAAGAACATTACAAGAGCCTGTGCCACAACACCCAAACTACTAACAAATACTGCAATAAAAATGATAAGTATCTTTCTATACATGATGACTATTTCCCAATAATAAAAGTCTATTCTATATCCACGATAAAGAAAACCGTATTTTTGTCTAGTTTATATTTGATCTAGACTTTTCCTTTCTTTTATCAAGATAGCTAAACCAAAAAATGGTATTCCAAGTCCCCATAAGATAATTGTTGGCAAAGCAATGAAATAGCTAAATAGAGAATGCTGTTTATCCCAGCATTGAATTTCTAAATCAAGTCGTAGTCGAGATTCATCATCGATATCTTTACATTAAAAAATTGAGAAGGACTGTGTTACTAAACTAGGATGAGCAAGGAATAGAACTATAACTAAACTCGCTACAATCTTATCATTAACTTGTTAAATGTCCTTTCTAATTCTCTGTATGATTTTCCATATTAAATAGCAAGAAATTGTCAAAACAAATGGCAAAATTGCTATTAATATCAGCTTCTAGTAAAATATTCTCAAATCTTATTGATATGTTTGATATATCCCAGTTGAATTATTAGTGATGATCCTCTCTTTTAAAAAGCAATCAAAACTAAATATTTAGGTGTAAGCAGTAGCAACCTTGTTTGTTTAAGAAAAAAATCCCAAAATATTAGATGACCATTAGAAATCGAAAGTGCCGGTCATTAGCAATAACTAGAAATGGTTGAGAACATTCTTTTGAAATATGTTAGTGATATTATTCTTATCTTAGGCACCCACTAATGTAGACCTGATCATTAATATCACTAATAGAATGACGACAAGAAAAATCACTAATAGTCTTATTGAGTTCAATATAGGATCAGGGCATTTTGAGCAAATGCTTTCCCCATCTCTAGAAAATCCTTCTTCACATATAGAACACAATATTCCTTGATAGCCAGAAGCACAAGACCCAATTGGATTATTTTAAGGAGGTACCATTCCGAGGCATGCAGCATAATTTGGGCAAGTTATGAAATTTTTTGATTAATTACTCTTTCTCCAGAATCCTGGTAATGGACCTATGTTAGAGCCTCCTAAACATATAGCTTTTTCTATTGGACATATATCACATGTCCCGGGCTCTGTCATTCTTTAAAGAGAATAGCCACCTTTACATAGTTCACACTTACCAGCAGTAGTAAACTAATCACCAATTTCACACAGTTAAAGATTTATACTCAATTTAAGATTCAAATCACTAGTATTCCGCAATTTCATTGCTTACAAATTTGAGAATTTTTTCTCATCAATGCCATTAGTTGAAAATACTAATGTGTAGTTACTTCCAGGGTTTCCTACGAATTTCATATTTTAAATTACTGATATTCCTCCAAATGTATCGAAATTATAACTACCCTCAATCAAAGGTGGATACTTTGACTAATTAGAATCCAAATTTAATGTTTAAACTGAAGCTTTTACTTTGCTACTGAAATCTGAGCCCACTATCTATCCATACTTGTCTTACATAGATAGGTATAAAGTTTTTATTTCTCCACCACTTCTTTAATTCTCAATTTAATTACTAGTAATTTTGCCTAAATCAGATTAGTTATTTAGCATTCTTGATTCTATCTAATAGCCAAGTTTTTACATATGTAGAGCATATTATTAATAACTAACACTTATCAGATCTTATGAATAACTTCCTATATCATTTCCATATTAAGTAGCTTAATTCTAAGAAAAGACTAAATTATTTTGATTGAACACAGGCTCTAATTAATCCCAAAATATAGCTCCTCCTTAGATTCTCGCTTAATTGCTTTTGAAATTATTGGTCCCAGCAAATTAAAGCTAGCAATTTAGTGTATCAGAATTACATGTGTAGAAGATAGCACCACCACTGCCTTAATACTCTAATTTACTTTTAGCGTTGAGGTAGGCTTTATTGCTCTAAAATATTGAACTGGTAATGATTAAAGATTAAGGGTTATTAGCAAAGATGGCTCCACCTAGTAATGCAGAACAGTTTGAAAACGTAGTGTTTTCAATCTTGTATTTATGGCTTAAATTTATTGAATTAGATTCTTTATTACTTTCAGACTCTGTTATGTAAAGACACCCACCTTATTATGATCTTAAATTCTAAAATTTTGAATTCATTATTGACAAACCTCTGCAGTTCTAGCATTTTATCCCAGCACCATTACCTTATGATGTTTGGCTTTCGCTATTAGTATCAGTTATTAATATATTACTTGCTTCTAGTATTGCATTTTCAATCAAGATTGAGTTTTTTGAATTGATTTTATTTATAGTAACCTAATCGATTCTAATTTTGTTAAAGGAATTAGAAATATAAATATCTTCACCCGATTCAAGAGCTTAGTTATCTTAGAATAGTGTCTTATTTCCAATATAGATATCTTGAAATCCTGAACTATAAACAGCACCTCCGTTAGAAAGAGCTAGATTGTTAATAAACTTTGAAGATTATATGTTAACATAGATATTACCTAAAATGTAAATAGCTCCTCCTTCAAGACTTATTCCATTCTTAAACTAAGTTCTTATAATATCTATGAACACTTCAAAGGATAGAAAAATAAATGAACCTGTAGTCATATCATTGAAACTGTATTTAGAATTTTAATGTTAAAATTATGAATCCTTGATAGTAACATTGGAATAACCACACATTATATTTCTGGTTTTGAATTTAGCATCATTCATTAAGAATTCTGAACCTTCTATCCAAACTTATGCAAACATAAAAGACATAGTATTTGAAGAGGCATTATTATAGCTGAATTCTGATGATTATATAGTTATATTTTAATCTGAAGGAGAACTTAGTACTTAGATAACAGAACTTTCTGGTGCATTATTCTTTGTAAATAAAGTGTTCTTCGTATGAAGGACTGATTAGCTGGATATATAGATCACTCCTGCAGATTCAAAAGCATGGTTATTTCTAAATAAGCAATCATTGAGATTTATTATAGAGTTAGCAACTGCATATATACTTCCACCAATATTTGCAATATTATTTTCAAATTTGGTAGCTTTTAAATCAGCCTTAGCAGTTGCAAGGTATATTGCTGATCCTTGTTAGGCCATATTATACTCAAAAGTAGAATCATAGTCTGTCAAAAGAGTATTTTCTAGTAGAAAAACTCCTCCATTTCTAGACATTCCAAGGTATCTAAAAATATTTTGTTCAAGAATGCATGCTATTCCATTTTTGAATGTGAAGTAGTTCTAAGCTGAAAGAAGATCATCATCTTATCTATATAACTAAAACTTTGATTTTAACTCTTCAAAAGTTAAGCCAAGTTTATTATCAAACTCAGATCTTTTAATAATCAAGGTAAAAGCAGAATATTCTGAGAAGAGGAGTCCTGCTTAGGGAGCATGGAAGTTCTGGAAATGGGAATCTAAAATTTCTACTTAAACAGCTTTCTATATATGTATTATTGAGCTCGAAAAAATTCCAAAGATATTTTTAACCTAAGTGTTCTGAATTTTAATTATTGCTCTTTAATTACTAGAATATATTAAACCTCCTTGATTAGACTGTATGTTCAGAAAATAGCAGTTTTTAATGGTAATTGATGAATTAAGAGGCTAATCTGAAGTCAAAGTTGTGGTTATGATACCTCCATTTGAACGAGTAATTATTTCTTGAAATTAAGCATTTTCTAGCAAAACACTGCCAAAGCTTGAATGATAAATTAAACCAACATCAATTGTCTGTGAACTGCAATTTATTATCTTAGAATTCTTTAAAGTCAAATTACCTAATCCATTTGTTTGAGCTATTGTTCCATTTTTCAAGGATGAGTTTATAAATATTGAACCATCATCTTGATAAAGGCCAGAATTAATATTTATCAATGTTTGAAGATTTGAATACTAACAGTTTTTAAAGATGCAATTCTTAGTATACAATGTTGAAGTCGGCTATATACCAATCATGAAGAGAACATTATTCTAACTTTATTCATTGCTGCTTTATCCTTGGCAATCAAAGATTGTATCATTAAAGTAGACATTCATGTTAGGCTGATTTAAAAATAATAGTATATCTCCATTTGTGCGCATGCCAGATATTGTAGTTTATTGATAGCCTTTTAGTGAATTAAACTAGATTTGTAATCCTGTTGGGTATCTTATTAAATACATTAAGTTCGATTAGTAAGTTGATTAATCTTCTTAAACTGAGAGAGTTGGATTAATTATTGTTATTGATTAAAATTCCAAGCTTTTCGCTCGTGCGTCATCAAAATATAGAAAAGATCCTTAAGAGTTGCTTTTGATATCAATAAAAGTTGAATTTCTGACAGTATATTTTCTGTAAGTTTAAATCCTATTAGGACTCTATCTATTCATTAAAAATTGTAGCACACCACAATTACTTTTTACTGATAAGCATGACACGTTCTTTGCATATATTCCTTAAATGAAAATGAAACTTTGGTAGGAATATAACATTCCATATTATTAAGAACTCAAATTGATGTAAGTGTTGTTGTATAGATAGGCCTTTGCATAATTAATTTAGTATACAGAAGGGTAAGGATTTTGAATATTCTCATACGTTGAATTAATATCGATAAAAAGATTTACACCCACGTCCATAGTAATTACAGATTTTTAGATAAAGTTTACTATTTAGCAGTTTCTAACAGTTAAATTATTGATCATTGCTTAAGGAAAATATTAAGCAATAATAAATGGGCCTGGGAGTTACTAATTTTGATTAAAAAATATTTCATCTGCAATAATGGTTGCTTATTAAGCTTTGTAGGTCAGGTTATTGTTGACACAATTAAAGATAGACGAAGTAATATATATATTTTCTGTAATTTCTAAAGCACCCAAAAAACTCTATTTGATAGATCCAAATAAGAATATATTATTGATATCTAGATTGGAAATATAAACATTTCTAGCTCCTAAGACTGATATTGCAAAAGCTTATCTTGTATAAATATCCTAGATATAGGCATCTTTAATTATCAATTAAGCATTATAGTCTGTAAAAAACATCAGTCCACTTGAATAGCTTTGAATAAATGAAAATTTTCCTCCAATAATTTCAAAGCTTTTTTCTTCTTGATTAGAATAAGATTAAAATATTATAGCTCCACCCCATATGTTCGAAGTACTCCTTGTAATAGTGATATTATTGAAACTCAAATTTCCATTTTGCTCATCAATAAATATAGAACCTCCATCACTAAAAGCATGATTTTTCTCAAATATAACTGAATCTAGAGTTATAGAATTCATACTATAAAAATACATTGCACCTCCGAAATAAGCATAACTATTGTTATATATTGAATCTTTATCTTGAAATGTTGTTGACTCTAGATACATAACTCCACCCTAAAAGGGTCTAAAATGATTTCTAAAAATGTTATTTCTGAAAATAACTTGTAAGGCGTTTTTTATATAAATAGCTCCACTGTTAAATTCATATAGAGCAGAGTCCATATCATCTACAGAGGTCTCATAGTCATTTTGATTTTAGGTGAAGTTACTAGATGAAATGCTAATCATAATTCTTTATGATTCTGAATATAAAATAGCTCCATTCTTATGGGCTTCATAATTTTAGAAGCTTGTATTTTAAATAGAGAGTAAAGTTGCTTCATTAACATAGAAAATTCCTCCATTACCCTGATTAGATTAAATATCTGAGAAAGTACTATCCTAAATTATAATCTACACTCCAAATGAATCAAGATACAGCAATCCTCCATCAAACATAGACTGTGCTTTTTAAATTGTACAGTTATTTATCATTGCTTACGTATTTGTAGCTTCACTTTTAATTAAATTTATCATATAGATCATACTCCCACTTTATTTTGCAAACAAATTTAACAATAAGCTATTTTCCATGAAAAAGGTTGATATTCCTTCAACATAAACTACTCCACCATTAATAGTCACTATATTTTCAAACAAACAATAGCTCATGTTCATTGAACAATTTATGCAATAAACCACACCTCCTTATTATGAACTTATTGAAGTGTAGTTAGAAAATTAGTCTATTAAATTTGTACCATCCTATAGGCTAAAAACTCCTCCAGATTCAGAAGCATAGCAGTTTTTGAAGGAGTTATTATATCCATTTATTTCAATCTATCCAACAGAATCTATCAAACTATAAGAATCTAAAACATCTAGTCCATCGATTATGCTGACTTAATCCAACTCATCCTGGCAGTTAAAATTAGAATTTCTTAAATATACTATAGAATCTTTAGCCCTCGTTTTAATAAGTTATCCATTTCTCTATGTTTAAATTTTAATAATGGTAACATTATCAAAAGCAAGAAATTAAATCAAATCTAGTACTATCAAAGAAATATCATTGCTACTCAAAAATTCAATTTAAAAATCGGTCAAGTTAAGTCTACTATTATTTTTGTTGTAGTAAATGATACTATTACTTTTGTAAGTTTTAAGGTCCATTAAATCAATAGTCCAAATCAGTTATTATAAAAGAATATTTAATTTTCCAGAGCCTTTTGAATGTATAATCTTTCCAATTTGAACTAAATCATTTTGACCATCAGTTGAAATGTTTTTGTATAGTAAGTTATTATCAAAATAGCAATCAGTCATAGTAATATCAATATCTTAATCTGTTTCAAAATGTATCAAAGAGGTTTCTGTTTAAGTAGATATATTTTTGAATGTACTTTTTGTTATATTTAATATTACTTGTTAATATTTCTAAATATCTTAGCTGTTATTAGCATCTTTAATTACACTCCCACAAATGTTAATATTTTCAAATGAAGTATTCATTATTTATATATTTCCTCCAGACTAACCTATTTCTATCAAACTTGTGAAATCATAATAAAAGTTACTAAACACAACATTCTAAATAAAAAATTAAACACAATAATCTCACTTCCAAAATTAAAGTTTGCTGATTTTGCGTAATGCTCTATTAATTATCTTCAAACTAAATAAAAGCGACTCTTGTGTTTTTATGACAATTATAAATCCTATAAAATTCATTTAAGTTTAATGCTTACCTAAATTCCTGAAATTGGCAATAAGATTATCCTATGATTATTGGACTATCTTCATTGAACTAGATGTTGCAGCAATTAATCTTATTATTTAGCAAGCACTAGAATTCACTAGACAGGAGTTAACTTGGAGATATTAATAATTATGAATCAATTATCGAATCAGTTGCATCAAATTCTATGTTTCTTATAGTGAGACCTCCTCCTACTAGCATCTTGAATTAATCTCTCATTTTATGTAGAACTTTTACAGTTTAACCATCTAAGGAGTCGATAGTAATCTTTATCGAATTTGAGATCTAATCATAATATCTTGGAAGATAAATGTTTGAATCAAACCTTTCAATTTAATGAGTTTTTCCTGGAAACAACTTTATAGTAATCTCTGCATTTTAAAAAGGAGCACCAATTTCATAAGCCTAAAATATGTTTAAAAATATTTTACTTTAATGAGAGCAATCTTCAAGGATGTGAAAGGCTTTTCTAGAGATCCATCATTCATACTATCATTATATTCTTTATTATCTAAACTGTCTACGAATATTTCTGCTTGCATTGATCCTGATTTAAGAAGGCATTTTCCATAAGTCTTTTTAGGTAAGGAAGATCCAGTGTCTAGATAATAACCAATTTTGCATGATTTGCATTCAGTTTCTGATACACATCCTTAACAACTCTCGCTGCATTTCTCTTTTATAAAATATTTAATAAGTAGATATCATACCACATATTGATGTTTAAATCACTCCTTTCTTAGAAAAGGTAACTTTTCCATATCTCCCTATCCCACAATTAGTTGTACATGATCCAGAGTCAGAATCAACGTAACTATCAAGGCATGCTATAATCTTATCTTGAATAATTTTTGAAGTATTTATATCCATTTTAAAAGTACACTAAATGGATAGAATGTCGACAGTACTATCACATTCTAATTGAAATTTAATCAAATCGAAGAATTACAATGACAAGTTTTAGAGCCAGTCTGGATGTCTTCAAATAGTCCATAGCCGTATTTACATTGATTGCAGCTTTATTTACTTGCTGCATCCACGCAAATTTCTGATTAGTCACCTGAAATTGTCTAAGTTTTTAACATTACTTTTTTCACAAATATTTTAGTATCTAGATGCGGTGATATTGAAGTAGCCATTTTAGTGCAGATAGTATCCACTTTTGCAAATGAGGCAATTATACTCATCAGTTTAATTAAAGATTTCACAAAACTCATCAGAGCTCAAAGATGAGGTAGTTATAATCTCTAGTAATGTGAAATTTATAATTAAATACATACGACAATTCTGTTCAGCTTGGCTATATTAACTACATGTACTGTTATCAATGCTTTTAATCCACTCCTATAAATTGCTTTGGCAAGTTTAAAAGTCTGTTAGAAATAGGTTATCATATCCTTGCTTAGAAACTACCCATCCTATGCTCTACTCTTAGCCAGGGCATTTTTCACAGCCATACTTAAGATTGCACGATTAGCAATATCCTCCACACCCTATTTATCATTATTTATTCGATATCATGATTTTAATTTACATTAGCAAGTAGAGTTCAGTGGATTGTTTATAAAAGAAGAATGATATGAGTTGCAATCAGGCACACAGATACTAACCTTTGTACTTAATTCACCCATTTAGTACTAATGATTAAGCAGATATTGGCCATCACTGCAAGAGTTACATTGTAACATCTAGATGCTATTTTCAGATTAGTAGCTACATTTTCTACATCCATTTATCAAATTATCACATCCTGTGAAAATTTGTAAACTCTCTATTATTATTTACTTTAACACTGATTTCTTTGCTCGTCCTTATATTCAAAGATTTAGCCTACATTTTAAAGAATTATAACATTAAGAGTATTACAATCGATAGCTTAGATTTAATTCACCAATGAATTCAGAAGTAAGATGATTAGCAATAGATTTTTCATGATTATTTTTTATATTAATAAAAGGAAATTTATTTCTGTTTTCTTTTAAATAATAAATTTATCAACTGATGGGGTTTTGGGGTTTTGGGG